TTTTTTTTGTTAAGAAAAGAAAAGAAGCTGTCTTTTTTTCTTTTTTCTTTTTTCTTTTTTCTCTCTTCTTTTTTCTTTTTTTTCCGGGGTGGGAAGTTGGGGGTGAGACACATGCTGTTATCAGAAGTTCAAGTTTGCCATTCGGTAGTGCTGTGTGGCGAAGTGGCCTAAACCCACAAAACCTCTTGGATTCCCTGAGTCCTCTCAGATTCGTTTCGGGGTTTGAGATTGGTATGGCGAGGCCCTTTGCCAATTTGTAGACTTAGGGAAGGGTATATGGGACCCGGTTTCCAGCATTTGCATTAAAATTGTCATTAAAAAAAAAAAAAAAAAAAAAAAAGGTGGGGGGAGGGAAGACCAGAAACAACAACCGACGGATCATGCTGTCATTTGTATGGGCACCAAATAATGTTCCAGCCTCCAGGTACAGGTTGTATATAGAACGTGTACCTCCTGGGACGTTGGCAATGGGACTTGTGGGACTTGAAGAAGGCACCTACTACCTGGAATGATCTTCAAGGTACAGCCAGATCAGCCAAGGCATTGTCCTTTTTTTTATTGTTCTTTTTTTTTGAAGTGCGGAGGCTTTAATCTGCAAATTTAAATTTCTACACGTCTAGGTTTCTCTGAGATGTATGTGATCCAAGGTATTTTCCTATGTAAAAAAAAAAAAAGAAAAAAAAAGTTAGCGGCAAGTCATTTCTTGTGTGAATGCCTATGTGCTTTGTTGGAACATTTTTACATTACCTGGCGCATAGGGGGGTGCTCGACCTTCATATGCCGACAACCAGCAGAGAAGACGACAAAGGTGCCTGTCTTCGATTCGAAAATCGACCGTTGGCGCCCACGCACTGCCCGAAGCGCCTCGGTATGTCGTCCTGCACACGTTGTCGTCCTCCTCCGCTTCCCGCAGCCCAGCCAACGGTCCACCACGGATGTCAGCCCACCCCCGCTCGCCCCCCCCCCCGTGCTCCACCCCCTCTGCCAACGGCGACCGTTCGTGGCCGTTGCCCACGTCGACCGCAGAAAACCTCCGATGTCCGACCACCAACTCGACGGACCGCTTCTGGACCAGCAACGAGTGTCGACGGTGCCATGCGTGCGACGCAACGAGTCTGTGAAACGTGGGAATCCTAAAATTTTCAGTAGGTCGGGGCCTACTGGAAAATTTAAGACGATTTTGCCTGGGAAATCCTAAATCCTTTAGGACTTGTCCTAACGCCGTTTTCACATTTTCGATCTCGAAATTGGATTTAGGATTGCGTGCAACGAAGACGCAATCCTAAAAACAGGCACTTTTAGGAGTGTTTAACGAGACCCTATAACCTACCACTAAAAGAGGAGAGTATTCAATGAAGAGTATAATCAAAAGGTAAGAATCAGGTAGACTGAACAGTTGTTCAAGTTGAATGGTC